AGACACTTACTACTTTAATTATAATTAAATTGTTTTCTAGGTGAAAAATACAGAAAAATATTTAATTTTTAAATGAAGGCAGATTACTAGGCAGAATTCAGTGCAATACAGAAGCAGGTACTACAAATAGTACAGTAAAAAAAGAGTGGAAGAGGGCATAGTACACATTCAAAGATGAAAGGCAATTGCAATTTACTGCAGGCATAGCAAATGGAAAAGCTATTTGTTGTATACCAAAGTGTTAAAGATACCACACTAGACAATATTTAAGACAATACCTAATATTAGTCACTTTTCAGCAACAATCTAGTGAGTTCGATAAGTACACTCCTAAGTCAAAAAAGAATCCAAGAAATTAGTCATATGAGATGAGAACTAAATTTCCAACAAAATATTAAACAACTTTTTAACAGGATTTGAGTTTGTAAATTTAGCCAACTCTAAAATAGTGTGAATTCTCACACACACACAAAAAGAATCTTAGATGGAGAGATGATGAAAAGAAATTATTTTAGGTTGATTTAGTCAGAAATTTATGAGGAAGAGACTTTAAAAGATATTTATAAATACTGAAAACTTCAATCCTTTAAATAATTTTGCTCACAGAATACAAGAAGTTTCTGATGATATCAAACACCAATTGATTCAAAATTTGAAAAACTGCAAGAATTTATCTTCAGCTTTAAATGAGTTTTGTATCATAAGACACAGCCCCATGAAAACTTTGGGTATATTCCATCTCAAAGAACATCCACATTTACAAAGAACTGTCAATTCACTACCTAAAGATTCACTCAGAACAGAAATTTTTTTACAATTTTCCATCTGTCAAAGAAGAATTTCAGCTAGAGATAGAAAAATTGGTTTCCATTGTAAGAGGAACTCTAGCTATATAAAGTCAATAGACCAGCTATATTGGCATTTTAAAGCAAAAGAATGGTGTTTACCTCTTTGCTTTGTTGCACTGTCTCATACTGAATATATTTGTGCTCAGTTTTTTGAAGCAGTCTCCAGAAAAGGAGTTATAATGCTAAGATTCTTCAGTATATTGGTGGAAATGCTATACAACAATAATTACCAGTTTATGGGACTGTACTGAATCTATGGAACTCCGAAAAGAAAACATGGGGGTGGGGTGGAGGGGTGGAGATTTCATGACATTGGATTTGAGAATGATTTCTTGGACATGACACCAAAAGCACAGGAGAAAAATAAGCAAAAATAGGCAAATGGGACTACATCAAACTTAAAACCTTCTGTGCAACAAAGGAAATAGCGCCAAGAAAATGGAAAATGTTCCAATGGAACCAATGGAATGGGAGAAGACACTCAAAAATCATAAATAAGGGGATAATATCTAGAATAAATAAAAAATAGCTGAAATTCAAAAACAAAAGCTTGATTAAATAATGGGTAAAGGACTCAGACAATTCCCTTAAGATATACACATAGTTAACAAGCATTTAAAAAGATTTTCAACATCACTAATCATCAGGGAAGTGCAAATCAAGAACACATCTGTTAGAATGGCCACTATAAAAAATATAGAAAATAATATGGGTTGCTAGGATGAGAAGAAACCCTTCTGCATTGTTGGTAAGAATGTAAAATGGTGCAGCTGCTATGGAAAACAGCATGGAGGTTCCTCAAAAAGTTAAAAATTGAATTACCAAATAATTCAGCAATCCCACTTCTGGGAATATATCCAAAAGACTGATAATAGATTTTGAAGAGATATTTGCACACCCATATTCATAGTAGCATTATTTACAATAGCCAAGAGGTAGATACAACCTAAATGTGTACTGATGGATGAATGCATAAAAAAAAAATGTAGTGTAGCCCTAGTCGGTTTAGCTCAGTGGATAGTGTGTCAACCTGCGGACTGAAGGGTCCCAGGTCCGGGTTGCAGACTCAATCCCTGGTGGCGGGCCTGCAGGAGGCATGCAGGAGGCAGCCAATCAATGATTCTCTCTCATCATTGATGTTTCCCCCCCTCCCTCCCTCTCCCTTCTTCTCTGAAATCAATAAAAATGTGTTTTTTTAAAAAAGTGGTTTACACATACAATGGAATATTACTCAGCCTTAAAAAGGAATGAAATTCTGACACATATTACATGAACCTTAAAAACATGTTAAGTGCAACAAGCCAGGCACAAAAGAACAAATATTGATGAATCTATTTATATGAGGTACCTAGAATAGTCAAAGAAACAGAGTCATAAGAAACAGAAAGTAGAATAGTGGTTGCTGGGGGCTTGGGAGAGGGAAGAGTGGGGAGTTACTGGTAAATGAGTAGAGTTTCAGTTTGGGATGATGGAAAATTTCTGGAGATGAATATGACGACTGCACAGCAATGTGAATGTATTTAATGCCACTGACTAGTACACCCAGAAAGGATTAAAAAGGTCTTTTTCACATTCTGTATTTTGACCACATTAAAAACAATTCTAAAATAAGTTAAGAAAAGGAAACTCGTTGACAGGAGAAGCCTCGTCTTGTGGTATGACTTTAAAGAAATGTCTTCAATAGAAACCCATTAAAACCTTTTTTAAAGCAAGGTTGTCATTTTAAAGTAAACATCCTGAACAAGCCTCTTCTCAAGAACTTTACACATTTAATTCTTTCTATAAGTTACTTTTTTTTTTAACAGATAAACAAGCTAGGGTTTAGATAAACAAACTAGGTTTTATATCACCTAAAAGAAAAACTAACAGGGTTTATATCTTTTCAGAGAAAAACAAACCAGGGTTTTCATCTTTAAAAACACACACAAATAAACCAAAAAAACAACAATAACCCTAAACCAGATAAATGATTCTCATAAGCCATAGTCCTTTAGGGCTAAATGTCTCTGGTTGGTCTCTTTAGCAATAACTATGCAAATCAATTTATCACACAGCAGTATCTGACTACAAGCTTTGGGGGAGGGCACAAGGAAGAAACCAAACATTATCCAGAGGTAGCAATGCACACCTAAACCCACTAAATCACAGCAAATACTGCTGCATCTCAGATGAGCATGTGCATCTCTTTGCTTTGATAAGTTGAAAGTTCTTTGCTTTAGCTCTGTTTTTATACACACTGCCTCCAATTTCAACTTTAGCCGCTCTGCACCACTGTTGAGTCAGTGGGGCTCCTTTATAACCCTATGACCTGAGACCCAAATCTAACCGACTTAGGGTTTCTATTTCCCTGTTAACCCATTGTACACCACAAGCATCTGTAGACACAAGTGGCGGACCTCCCCCTACACGCCACCTGCGTCTATAAAAAAAAAATGTTTTCCCTAAGTGGCAGCCCTGACCAACTTTAAAATCATTTTTTGTGAGAATTTTCAGCTGAAAATATTCAAGAACACCCAAATTGTAACATATTTATTTTTATAATATTCATTGCAAATTTATTTTTTAAATTAAATTTAAAACATCGTGGCATGTGGGGATGGTTTCCATTTTGGACACATGGTAGTTAACTGGCTAAGTTAGGAACTATTATTCAGACTCCACCAATGAAATTAGTAAGGAATAAACCACTAATATCTGTATTCTTCATTCCTTTCAGGTCTAATTTCACAACAGAAAACTTAAGTGAAAATTTGTTTTATTTTCTACATTCCTTTCCTCAATTTTATTTACCATCAATGGAGTCTCTTTCGATGATAGAATATGTATTCTCCAGATGGTAGGAAATCAGAATATCAAATTCCTACTGTGGGCAAGTCAGGTTGCATGACTGAGAGAACTTGGCAAGCAGAAGAATAGATTCCCTATCTAAAGGTGGAAGCGGCTGGCCCAAACAACCTTTCTTATGAAATAAGGCCTTAGTGTTGTCATCCCTTACATTCTTCAAGACTAGCCTTTTTTAAGTATGAAATTTCCTATTTTAAATAATGATGGCAACTAATTACACACACACACACACACACACACGCACACGCACACACACACACGCACACACACACGCGCGCGCGCACTTACCATGCAGACCAACTATGACATGTCAAGGGCCCAACTTTAGCTTGTGACCTTTGCCATACAGAATATTTATACTCTACTGACAGGAAGCTGTACTTAGTACAGGCAAAAATTAAAAAAATAAAACTCTATTTTGCAAAAGGCAACCCGTTCAGAATAGCTGTTTCCAGCACCCGTTTCCTCTCACCCTCACCACCCCCAATCTATTTTCCTAAGACTGTAACTCTCATGTCTGAGATGGCTCAGGTGCATGTCCCTAGACCCCAATCCTCTCAGCCAATGCTCAAAGGAAAAACAAGTTAGGTACTTTGTTCAATTAAAACATTCCCTGAAGGCAATCTTGTTTCATCTTCACTGACTTGTTCCTGTTTACAGTGTTCTAGCATCAAGTATTCAAGGCATCCCGTATTCAAAAAGGGTACTATATTCTCACTGCCAGAAGTTTAGTATCCTAAATCATTTCCTACGACAGAAACTTGAAAATTCCAATGAATCAAAAATATTTAACTTATGCCCTAGCTGGTCTGGCACAGTGGATAGAGTGTTGGTCTGCGGACCAAAGGGTTCTGGGTTCGATTCCCATCAAGGGCATGTACTTAGGTTGCAGGCTTCTCCACGGTACTATATTCTCACTGCCAGAAGTTTAGTATCCTAAATCATTTCCTACGACAGAAACTTGAAAATTCCAATGAATCAAAAATATTTAACTTATGCCCTAGCTGGTCTGGCACAGTGGATAGAGTGTTGGTCTGCGGACCAAAGGGTTCTGGGTTCGATTCCCATCAAGGGCATGTACTTAGGTTGCAGGCTCCTCCATGGCCTGAGCCCTGGTCAGGGCACACGCAGGAGGCAACCGGTCGATGTGTTTCTCTCACATCGATGTTTCTATTCGTTTCAAGGGCATGTACTTAGGTTGCAGGCTCCTCCATGGCCTGAGCCCTGGTCAGGGCACACGCAGGAGGCAACCAGTCGATGTGTTTCTGTCACATCGATGTTTCTATTCATTTTTCCCTTTCTCTTGCACTCTCCCTAAAAATCAATGGAAAAATATCCTCGGGTGAGGATTAACAAAATAAATAAATAAATAATTTTTACTTATGTCTACAGCTTCAGAAAATATGAGGTACAAAAAACAACAACCCCAACTTAGAAATTATTAGTCCCAACCCTTCATTCTATCAGTTCAAAAACAAATTCAGAAAGGTTATATAGTAGATTGGTTGGAAACTGGGACAGAACCCAGGCTATCTGACTCCAACCAAGTTTTCTATTACACTACATGGGAGTGGAGGGGGAAAGTAGAAGAGAGGGAAATCTTCTGAAATGGTTAAAAAGGTAGGTTCTGGGTACCCCCTCCCCTGCTATTTAAATTCATATTTGACCTTTTACAATAATTTCACATCTCATACTATTTTCACTTTCCACATGACTTTTCCAGCCCTAACTACTATCTCCCAAAAAGTTAACATTCTTACAAAGAAGGATGAATGGGGGAAAGTCTTTCCTAGCTGCCAACCCATCAAAGTTGCAGCTACTAATCAATGTGGTGGCAATTTATATCCAGGTTTCTAATAAGGAACAGTTTTGATTAACTTTCCTCCCACCTTGCTATAGTTCAAGAATTACTCTCCAGAGTGAAATCCCCGATGTCGGATGAGGCCTGAATTACTTTTGAATGTCTTCTTACATTCCTTACATTCATATTCTTTCCTTCCAGTATGAATTTTTAGGTGCTCTACAAGGATTGAGCTTCTACTAAAGGTTGCTCCACAATAGTCACATTCATAGGGTTTCTCTCCAGTATGAGTTCGATAATGTTCATTAAGAGATGAGCTCTGACTGAAGGACTTTCCACATTCTTTACATTTATAAGGTTTCACACCAGTATGAATTCGCTGATGACGACTAAGGAGAGAATGGGTAGGGAAGGCTTTCTCACACTGACTACATTTGTAGGGTTTTTCTCCTGAATGAAGTCGCTGATGATAAATTACAGATGTAAAATGGCTGAAAGTCATTCCACAATCGTTACACAGGTATGGTTTTTCTCCAGTATGAATTCTCTGATGTCGGGTAAGGCAAGAATTCTGTCTAAAGGCTTTTCCACATTCAGTACATTTATAGGGTTTCTCTCCAGTATGAATTCTCTGATGCTTAGAAAGGGATGAGCTATGACTAAAGGATTTGCCACAGTCGTTACATGTATAGGGTTTTTCTCCAGTATGAATTCGCTGATGCTGAATAAGAGATGAATTGTCACTAAAGGGTCTCCCACATTCTTTACATTTATAGGGTTTTTCTCCAGTATGAATTCGCTGATGTTTAATGAGGTGAGCAGTTAGTGTGAAACCTTTTCCACAATCATCACATTTGAAGGGTTTCTCTCCACTATGAGCTCTACGACGGGGTGAGAAGGATACAGTCTTACTGAAAGCTTTCCCACAATCATAGCACATAGAGGGTTTTCCACCAAGGTAAA